AGATGAACACATGTAACCCCCCACCCTATTAGAACCGCCAACTGACTGTAAGAACTAAGCACCGTTAGTAAACCAAGCGGCGAACAATAACATCACAAACAAAACGCAACCCTAAAGCACTACCCAGACAGTCTATCCAGCCGCGGAGTGACCTCGAATATGGAAGAAGTTAAAAAGACTAACCAATCTTGCCAAATAATACCATATGAGGACACGAGATGTGCCACAGCGAATGTGCTGAAGAGGCAGCGCCCCGAGACGGAACACGGCAAAATCAACCACGAACCAAGAGAGCCACCAACCACAAACCCTTAAGGCTGCAACGACACCGCTCCAATTTGTTAGAGCGGACAAACATCACACTAACCGCCACGACACACGGAAGCAACAGTACGCGGCCGCCCACGATCCACTCACACCTCACCGCACACCAAATCCCAGGCGACCAAGACCAACAAATCCTCCCACCCGAAACCCAAATCTCCTGAGATCCAGGAAAATATCCCTCCCGGTAAAACCCGCCCGATTCAGAAGAATATAGCAAGACATCGAAGCAAGCAACAAATTATACCAGCAAGTTAGACACAAAGCAGTTGTTCAAAATAGCGGATTAGAGACTAGAATTCAAACCAAAGACCGCGCTCAAGGTCTGCGAGAGGGCGCAATGAATACGCAGCCCGTACCTTATCCAAGTGTGTGATGATCAAGAAGGCCTACTAAAACCCCTCAGAGCAAACTGTCGCCTGCGAAACCCAGAAGAGATCCACAAAAGTTGCACCGCCCTTCACGTCTAAAAAAGAAAAGACTCGTCAGATATGATTTCAAGGAAAATCAGATATAAGAAACATCAACAGTCAGAATCTGCCCTAAATTTTCATCAAGACTCACCGAGGGCAGCAGATGTGAGGTGACGGAGACCTACGCGTAAAAATAATATGGGTGTTAGCGCATTTCAGACAAATGCCTCGGAGAATAACATCTCTTAACGATTCAAACTCGTCATCGTGTCATCA